AGACATGGTGGTTGTGAACAAAATTATTTTTTTGAACGAAATGAATATATCGATTGTATTCTTCGTTGTCTTATTACTTATGGTAAATAAAAAGAAAACTTTTGTTTTTTTCTTCGTATTATTATTATTTGTTTTTTTTTTTTTTACATTTGTTCAATTTGAAATAGCTGGTAAACGTGTTATTGTTTTATCAACATTTGATCCTGATTGTGCATCAATGCTTCGTCGTAAACAAACATTATTTCCTGTATTATTTTTAACACAAGGTGATAAAGGTGATTGGCCACAATTTTTAGATGTACGAACATGGTCAATTAATATTGGTTTATGTTTTATTATTGCTGAACATTTATCAGGTTTAGCTGCACCAGCATTAGATATTCTTTCGGATAAAGAATTTGTAAAACATGTGAAAAATAATGGAAAATTATTATTTATTTGGGGTGATGAAGCAAGTAAGTGATTATATTTTTTTTTTACGAAAAAAGAATAAAATATTTGATTAATTTTAGATAATAAAGATGTATCGAAATGTTTGATTGATTTAAAAGTTGATGGTCTTATATTTGATCATATAGCAGAACTTAAAGATGAACATTCAACAACAGAAAATGTTTTTATTGGTAAGATTTAAATCATTGATATATACGAAGTTTAAGAATATCGGTGTAAGTTCTGACTTTCTCTTCAACCATGCACACAAACGTAGGATGACAATCAATATCTAATATTAAATTTGTATTATCAAAATAAGAATAGTATTGATTTAAATCTATCATAAGATTATTTAGTTTTTACAGTAAGATTCACTTATGTGCAAAAGAAAAATTAAAATATGAATGAATTTTTAGTAAAGTTTTGAAAGAATTTTTTGTTTTTCTCTACTCTAGCTGAAGAACGTGAAGAGTTAGAAGTTCTTAATGATTTTCGTCAAAAACAACTTGAATTAAAACATCGTCAATTATTACAAGAACTTGAAAATTTACAATCAGCACGTGAAACAAACGATTTATCAAAATTAACAACGAATCAACAATCTGAATCACTTGGAAATATTGATAACGTATCAGAACATATTTCAATAGATTCAGATTTTAAACATGTTATGTAATTGATTCCTGTTTATTTTTTTTTGCTATCTTACAATAAAAAAGAAAAACCAAATATAACTTCACGAAATAAATAATAAAATCGTACTATAGTTTTGCTTCGTTTTTTTTTAGATCATAGCTATGATATTCCATCTAATTAATGTTTTACTTAGCTTTTTAACTCGACCATATATTACTATAGAAAAATATTTTGTTCTTGCATTTCAATCATATTTACCAACACAATTTGATGAAAAAACATGGTATATTCTATTTGGTTTTATGACATTTTGTGCATTAATTATTGCTTTTATACTAAGTCGATATATAACAATAAAAGATGCTGATGATGATCCTGTTTATCAACGAGCAAAATTTTATTCAATGCAAAGAAAATATGGAAAAATAAACTGAATTATGTGTTTGAATGCTTGCTTTTTTTATAGTCATTTTCAATAAGTAACTCATCGACTGAAAAAAAAAATACACACTAAAAAAAAGATGTATTTTATACCATTTTATTAAGACTTTTCTCATAGAATAATTATGATTAAAATAAAAACAAAAGAATGATATTTCTAATTCTCAAATGATAAATTTTACACCAAAATCATAGTATAAAAAGTTAGCAACAAATTTGAATATTTCTTACTGACACTTGCCCCTGAGGTCGTGTTGGATACAAAATAAAACTTCTCCTCCACATCTGTTGACAAAGTAATGGAAAAATTTAAAATCAAAATACTGATTTTTGATTTTTCAATGTATATCTAAACGTGTGTCGAAAATTCAGGTAAACAACCATAAATCGACCCTTAAAGTACTTGGGAACGAGTCCTAGTAGAATTTTACTAGTCGTACTTAGACGTTCTGGTAGGCGCAGTATGATCTCAAATAGTGGATATCACGTCGAATAATTCTCTATCCTTAACAGATTATCAAAGACTATCAATTGATTGTTGTGACTCACTGAAGAATTCACGCTTAAAAGTGACTGATTCTTGTCTTTCAATTTCCGCCCATACATATCATAGAGAAGATGATTTGATCGAACTCTAAATTCAGATGAAAGCTTCACTGATCAAACTGAAATTTATAAATGTAACTATTAATTTTGTCCTACCAAAAATACTCAAAGCTTCATATCAAATGATTGCTCTATTTCTAAATGAATTTATCTTCGAACATCTCTTGTATATTGGTACCGTTAGAAATGGAAGAGGAACGCAAAGTTCATCATCAAAAATTATTCTTCTATATTCTACTCGATATAGTTTTATTCACTGAGTCAATTTTGAAATTGAATTGTGAATAGAAAATGATCGACATGAAATAATGTTGAAAATAGACTAAAATTGGCATAAAAAGTGCTCTATCTTGCTGTTTAGTCGAAATAGTTGAATAATCCAATCATTATTTTACTCCGTGGAGAAATAGGTTATGAGTGTGGGTACGGGTGTGTAAATGTTTTACTTTTGACAATGCCAGCGCACCTACCCCCACACCCACACCCCTAATATAAAACTAAACCAAAAAAAAGAATTTATTTATTTTTGTTCATATTGCTTGTAAAGTTATCCATTTTTTCTCTTCATCCACATACGATGAGCTTTTTTCTATTTATTTATCATTTATTCGGTCTTCTTGTTTTTGCTTTATCAGATTGTTAATTCGACTTTTTCATTTAAAATCATACCCACACACCCACTGACACCGATACCCACACTCCACACCCACATACGATGAGCTTTTTTCTATATTTGTATCACGTATTCTCAGAAGATATCGATATTTATGTGATCCTGATACGATTGATTCATTTCAGCTAAACCTTTGAAGTGCACTATCGAAATATTCAGTTGGTTATACCAAGAATCGATCTAAATAATCCTCATATCTTGGTATTCAATACTCATACAGGAAATGACGTATAATTCAAGTATCTATCTAATGGTGCGCCAACAGCAGCTCATATTATAAAATTGTTACTTTGGCAATGAGAGCTTTCATTTGTCACCAAAATAGCAGACCTAGCTCAATTACAATACAAACACCTCCATTATCAGAAGGAATATGATCCAATCCGGTGAGGTTTCAAATAAGAATTCCAGTCTATAGAACATATGGTGATTGAAAGTACTACATTTTTCCGATAGTTGAATAGAAACATCGCTGATGTTCGGATAATGTTCACTAATTGAAATATTTCATTGGATTTTTTTCGTCTATAAGTTCGAGATATTTCTTGTTCATTGTTATTTCACAGTACGATTATCGAAATACAACTACTATCAATTTGTTTTTGCTATTCTCTTCTTGACTATAGAAACTTGTGGCACATTATCAAATCATTATCGCAGACGGAACACATTAGAGAGCAAAAAAAAATAAAAACTTGCATCATCATCGGATCATACTTGGTAATTTTCTTCGTCGTACTGTTCTGCCAGAATATTCTATGTTAACAACTGATTGTGCAATATTCCACAAACTGTATAAAGTCGTGTTTCGCCAGCCATTTTTTTGTATTCCAATTTCCATCATCAACCGCATGTCTTATGACAAAAGCACACATCCTGCAGCTTGACAACCAACTCAATGGCAGGTTGAAAACATAGGCTATCGTTAGAGCAATATTTGCTTATGCAACAGTAATATTCATACTTCGCATTGACTCGGACTTTTTATGTTTGAGTTGGAAACCTCTGTTTCAGCGTGTTCCGATCATAGCGAAACCCAGCTATCGTCGCTTAATAACGACGATTCGGATCGATTGGGCGCTTCGAAGACCACCGATATTGAGATTATATTTGTTTGAGGACGTGAGTGTAGTATCCAAATTGCCAAATTATTCGATGTTGCTTTGAATCTTATTAAAAGGCACAAGTATTAGAATAAGAGACTCAAACTTGAATCAAATACATAATGCTATATCTATTATGTTTAACAGTAGAAGCATCAAACTAGAGGGCGAGTATCGCTACCACATTACTAAGTACTTTGCTTTTCTGTTGATTTGATGAGTGTGAAGTAAAAAGAAGATCTGATGTGCGGATGAGCGAGAAAGTTTATCTAAAATAAGGAGGACAATGTGATGATTATCTACAATTTTCGACCTGCAGTTATGCTGTATGAATCACATAGTATTCATGAGTATGATTCAGTATGCAGACAATCATTGAGAAAGATCGAGATGCAAGGTCTCGTTTTTTCGAAAAAGTCAAAGCATGGGTGGCGGAGCGGTCTTGATCTAGGGTGGGCTCAACTTTTAAGCCAAGCCAGCACCGAGAGTCAATTGAAAGACTTTTTTTTTTCGTTTATAATGGTGAGCGCTACCGATTCTCTTGCTAGGTTTAAATTCCGTAGAATTTGATAACTAAAGGTTGGTTCGAAAGTTTCGATCGCTCTCTATAAATCGATAATATCTACAACAGACTTATAGAAATAGGGGTGTCAATTTACATTTACCTTTCATTTAATTTACGCGTAAATTAAATAAAAGTAAATTTAAATTGACACCACTAGTAAAAGCACTCAACAGTGTTGTTCAAACATTTAGAATGCTACCGCCATGGATTTTTGGTTGTGGTACGGGGTGTCGATTTAAATTTACTTTTATTTAATTTACGCGTAAATTAAATAATAAGTAATTTATATTTATTATAAAGTAAACGGTAAATGACACCCCTAATCCACACTCACACTCACGTGCACGCCTACTACACCCACACTTACATACGCATACCAATACACACCCACAGTAAGAAACAGAACAGTCTTACCAATTTGATATTTTAATTTAGTATTGGGATGGAAAGTTTTCGCTGCTTCTAATCAGTCTTTTTTTAATCTTCAGATTTATTCAACACAAAGGAAATATCACAGTTGCTCTTCTCGTCTAACCAGAAAATGGCTTCCAATCATCCAAGTACTTTCTCTGCTACAAAAATGACATCAACGAAAAATGGAAAGGATGAAGTAAGTTATCCAGAAGAAAATTATCAACTTTGCTAAATGCCTCTGAGAGAAATGACGACTTTTGTCCTGATTGGAAAAATTTTCCAATGGTGAGAAGGAAATTTTCAGTTTTAAGAAAAATCTCGTCATGTACGGGTTGCAGTTTTTGATAGAATTGGTGCATTTTTGAAGAAGTTATGCTTTTTCATAAAAACTACGACATGAACCAAAGCAATGTGTTCATGAGTCTGATTCAACTTTCCCCTGGATCAAAAAACTCCCTTCACTGTTACAATTTATGCTGAATCTCTATAAGGAACTCGCTTCAACAGTATTTCTTTATCATCGGCTGCTATCCATTTCAAAGCAAAAGGCATTTGTCACATATACCATAAATTTATGGAAATTCGAGTGCTGCAGACCTTTATCGTTTATCGCTCTCATATTACTCCAAAGGTGAACAAATGCCTTTTGCTCGGAAATGAATAATTAGCTATTTTGTTTTTTATAACCATTCATGACGTAACCAATCATCTTGTTTTCAACAAAATTTAAAATGATCATGTAGGAAGAAGTTTATTTGTTTGTGGATTGGGCTAACGTGTATAAACAAGCAATTAAACAAGTGCTCTGTGGTTCAAAACCCTCAACAATACCTGAAATCAACGATACATTTGAACAGCGTATTGCAAAGTTTATTGAAAAAATGTATGGTAAATTTACTGAAAAATACATTACATCACGATTAAAGAATTTGTTTGATATTCTTGATAAATCAGACAATGCCCAGGTTTTAAACATAAAGTATCCTTTATCATATAATGCTACAACTCTTTTCTATTTAGAAACCTGACTACGAGCAAATGAAAATTGATTTGCTGGAAGTAGACAAACGTGAACAGTTTGTTGAAACACATCTGCGGAAAGCTAAACAGCAAGTAAGCCTAAGCTCCGAAACCGCTTTCGCTCATTATCAGATTCGAAACATTCACCACTGAATATTTTTCAGTCAGAAAGCGTGGTATAGTGTCGTTCTCATGTTATTATTTGAATATTTTTAGACTGATCGTTTTGTGCTACATCCGCATGATTTATTACAAATCGCTTGTCGTGTACCATCTTATGACAAACACCCACCGAGAGAGAGGTGTTTTTTATTTGGATCCTATCCATCGGACGTTGATACCACAATTGATCCACTATGGAAACGATCTGAATCCAGTCAAAGTACAAATATGCCAAAAGCTGAACGTGACAAAGAAGCGACTTATTTGTCCCAAGAGAAAAGGCTTATTGAACGATTTAATAAGTATTATATGGTAGAAGAATTTCAACGTGTAGCGACTGGTGATGACGGTTATGAACGTGAAAAAGGTGTTGATATTGCTGTTGCTGTTAAAATAGTTGATACGCTTCGTATTTGTCCTGAAGAAAAGCGTCATATTCGTATTGTTTTAGTATCAGCTGATTCTGACTTTGAGCCACTTATCAAATATCTCATCGCAAATAATGTTTCTATCGAAGTTTGGTGTTGGAGAAATGGTATTGGGCGAAAATATCGTGAATTTTTAACACAAAATGATATACTCAGTTATCTTGATGGTTTTCTTTATCAATTAGGGCATGTAACTGGTTTAGAACATAAATACTCAATCAAATTTTATCGCGATGATGATCGTCAGTTTCCCAATTCAAGTTTACAAACTATTTTCAATAAATTGAGTCACTATAAAATTTCAAGTACACTTAGTGAAAAGTTTTCAACATCAGAGTTTGTTTTACACTGGAGTAATGTAGCAGTAACCATTTCATTTTTAACAGAACAAAAACGTGAAGAATTTCGTCAATGGCTTGGAAGTAGTGGTGATAGACTTGCTCAAGATATGAAGCAATTAAAATGGGAAACATCGTTGTTTGACAAAAAAGCAGAAAAAATGCATAAAACAGAAAACGATTCTTTCGATATGTCTTAATGATACGAACACCTCTAACGTAAACAAGCGGGACTTTTGTCTTATATAATCAAGAATTTATATTTTCCATCTTTCCTTCTCTGTTTGTTTTGCTTTTAAAGATATCAGAATAAATTATTCATGTAAGTTTATCATGTGTTAGAAACGATTAAGCAAATACTTGATTACATATAATGAGCTGAACCAATGTTGCTATACGTGGATGCCATATCTCAATCATCGACAGATACAGATTGTTTTAGGATTTTTTTGTGCTTTCTCATAATATGAGAGTGCAGTTGTCTACTCTCACATTTCTTCATGAATTGAACCGATATTGTCCTAGCAGGCAGCTAGAGATGCATGAGAATTTTGAAGGATGTATAGTTTGTTGAGTTACTAATACTTAACCAAATATTCTTTGCTTTTTTCAAGTTTATTGAGACCACTATTGGAGGTGCGGATATATTGGTATTAAACTTCCGTTCTGGAGCGATTATCTGGGTAAATAGTGTTCAAGAGTGTGGGTGAGCGTGTGGGTATTCGGTGAGTATGGCTGTAGAGGATCGGTGGGAATGATATTAATACTCAAAAAAAAAAACGCCCAAACCAACACTCATACTCTTCTCTAGGCAAGAATAAACAACATATCGAAGATCTTGATTACTTTTCGACACTAGTATCGCTAAGTCTCAAGTTTATATAGCAAATACATGTCTTGTTACTCTGTGCATGAAATCTTTCAGCAACAAATACAATGAGTTTGTTGAGACAAGTGTTATATGGTTTTTTTGTTCATGAGCCTTGAAGGATTATCGTCCTTTGTTGAATTCAGTCGTAACACCTCAAAACAAGTTTTATTAATGCTTCTTCTGTCAATATGAGGTATGAACACAATCTATCAGTGGTAAAAATGTTAGCCGATCAGATCAAAATATTATAGAGATATTTAAATTGTTCTTTGGCTATGGATTTTCTGGATACCCTATACAATGAAGGTCGATCATATTTTTTCCTCAGCTAGCATCATCATTCTTCTAATTTTGAAGGAAAATATAAATGAAATAGGTTAACCTCCGCTTTTATTCATGAAATAAATTGTAAAAACTTCATAGGGTGTGATGGTGGGCGGTGTATGCCTGTGGTTGTGGCTTAGCATGTGCTTCTGGATCTTGTTGAAGAGAGGAATATACTCACATTTACACCCATACCCACACCCCATACGCACACCCACCCACACCCAGGGGCCGCGCGAAGGGTCTAAGATTGGGGGGTGTAGCGGGTTTTGAAAGGGTGTTAAAATTTTTTGGGGAGTGTAAAAGGGTATTTAGAGCAAAATTTCTTAAAAAAAACATAAAATTCGTTCCAAATCTGCTCCCGTCGCTGAAAAAAAAATTTCCAATTATTGGGGGGGTGTACACCCCCCACATCCCCCACTCACACGGCTCCTGCCCACACCGACACCAACACCCACACACCCACACCCACACCCACACCTACACATCCACACCCATATCCACCCACATCCACACACCCACACCCACCCTATATGACTAATCATCAAAATTCTAACCAACATGTTCTATTTGAATTCGATTCAAAATTTTGTGCGTCTGTTGATAATACGGTTGATCAATTTCAAGTAACGCCATTTTATTTTCTCTGTATACTTTGTTAACAGAAGTCAAAATTTCTTTATAGCACTGATCGTTGTCACGTACTATGAAAATGAATTCAAATTCATCTACAAGCGAATCTATAAAATTCACAAGTTTTGGATCAGAAACAGTTGTCGTTTGTTGATAATCAGATGGATTTAGATGAATCTGAGGAAATTCTTTAAGAATTAAACTCAATTTATAAAGCATAGAAACTTTGAGATCATCCCAAAATGTGTAATATTCACAGTTTTATGGACGCAATACAGAAAGTATCATATGATCTACAAAAATGCTGAGTCGGTCATTGTTGCAATTGAAGACAACGAGTTGACGGTCGTCCGACAAGCATCTCATCTGTGTATATAAATGATTAAAAAAGAAAAGAAACTCTTTTTTTATCATATAGTACTACCATAGAGAAGAAAAGATCTGTTTGTTTGTTGTTTCTATCGGGTTGTATTGCGTCAGAAGAGAAAATAATATCAATTTGCATCGTCTTGCAAGTACAACCTAAGAAAATAAATATTTTCGGAAATGCGTTTAAACGCACAAAAACG